CAGGCTATGTAAGTAGAGTGCTCAGGCTCACTCATGGAGTTAGCTGGGAGATCATGATGCATCCTTTGACATAGCAACATCAGACCAAATAAAAATTTCTCTCCAGTGATCTTTTCTTGCCTGCTTGCAGTAGGCTGAGCCAACAGATGGCAGAGAAGGGCAGCGATGGTGATAGCTGACGAGATGGCCCAGTGGAGAGTTGGAGAGGAGGGAAAGTGGCTGATAGCTAAGAGGTCCCTGCAGCCTTGGAGGTGTCTGGGGACTTGTGTCTGACTTCCTGATCCCCAACACTGGGCTCCCAAACAGCCCTGCTGGTGCTGGCACCCTACTTGCAATCCCCAGTGCCAACTGCTGCTCAAGGAAGTGGGAGACAGGAAAGACCAGACCACCGATAAAAGGCCGCTAAGAGGCTGGAGAGCTCCTCAGTAGTTCAGAGAACCGGCTAAGCCAGAGAAGAGAACCTGGAGATCCTAGTGGCTAGGAGAGCTCCAGAGAGCTGCCTTAGTCTTCAGGGCCAAGAGTTCCAGACCCCAGTCTGAAAGCTGTAATACCGGAAAGTGCCAAGAGCCAGGCATTCCAATACCCGATGCTTCCCAGCTGCCACTCACCCCGCTTCCCCTTGCTGCAGCTGATACAGGGACAAGAAAGTGCCAGAGACCAGCACTTGAAGAGCTTTTTTTTTTTTTTTTGGCCTTTTTGACACAGGGTCTCTCTGTAGCCCCAGTTGTCTTGTCCTGGGGTCACTATGTAGACCAGGCTGGCCTTGAACTCACAGAGATCCGCCTGCCTCTGCCTCAGGAGTGTCGGGATTAATCATGTGCGCCACCACACCTGGCAAGAGCTTTTAAAAAAATATTAATTTTTATGTGTATGAATGTACTGCCTGAATGTATGTGAGTGCACCCGTGTCGTGCAATGCCGCCGAGGTCAGAAGAGGGCGTCATATTGCCCTGGAACTGGAGTTAAGGACGGTTTGTAGCCGCCATGTGGGTGCTGGGAATCGAACCCGGATCCTCTGCAAGAGCAGTCAGTGCTCTTAACCACTGAGCCATCTCTCTAGCCCCTTGAAGAGCTTATTTTATGTGTGCATGTGTGTATGTGCACACACATGAGTATGCATGCCTGTGTGCATGCCTGGAAGCCTAAAGAGGGCACTCAGTGTTCTCTATCACTGTCTATTCCTAGGCTGGCAGCAAGTCATCATCAGCAATCCTCCCATCTCTGCTCACCTGGGGGCTGGGTTACAGGTGTGCATAGAACACCCAGCTTATTACATGGGTACTGGGATCTGAACTCCAGACTTCATGATTGCTCAACAGGGTTTTTAACCACTGAACCATCTCTTTCATCCTTTGAAGAGCTTCTTGTTTACCTACAATTTATATCCACAAAGCAAAAGAACTCCTAGCCAGCCCACTGGTGACAGAATGTGGATCATGTTGGGGTGTGTGTGTGTGTGTGTGTGTGTGTGTGTGTGTGTGTGTTTATGCTGGGCATGAATACTAGATCTCAGTGCAAAATTGACTTTTACTGTAGATTGTGGTTAAAACCAAGCTTTCTGGTGCCAAAGTGGAGCTAGCCCTCTGCAGCCTCTCTCTGCCACTGAAAATAACTAAACATTCCAGACAAACTACATGTATCAGTCATGGTCTCCAAAGGATCAGAACTGATAAAAGATACATATGGGGATTTATTAGACTGGCTTACAGGATAGTCTGAGTAGTCCAACAATGGCTGGGCCACACTGGAAAGGCTGAGAATCTGGTTTCTCAGTTCATGAGGCTGGATGTCTCAGCAATCCCAAGTTAGTGCTGAAGGCCTAGAGGAGTCCTGGACCTGTGAGCAGGAGCTATGGTCCCCTTCCATGAGCTGGAGCTGTGGTCTCCAACTGTGAGCCATGGTTCCACACTCCTCTGGTGGTGGGCTGATGGTGGAGCAGACTGGATGCTGGGAGGCCTTGCCAATGTTGACTGGCTGCATTTCCCACAGGTCCCTCCCGAGGTCCCAGGTTGTGCATGATGGTGGCTTTGCCACTGCATTGGGTTTATCCTGGGGACAGGGGAGGTCTCTGTCATTTGCCAAGTTTGGTCTTGAGACAACTGATTCTCTAGAATGGACTTCCCACCTCCCCTGAGAGCCAGCTGTGTGTGTTGTTGTTTTTCCTTTTGGTCTTTTTTTTTTTTTTTTTTGGTTTTTTTGGGAAAGGGTCTCCCTGTAGCCCCAGCTGTCCTGGAACTCACTATGTAGACCAGGCTGGCATTGACCTCACAGACTCAGAGATCCACCTGCCTCTGCCTCCTGAGTGCTGGGATTAAAGGCGTGCACCACCATGCCTGGCACCTTTTGCTCTTTTTAAAAAATATTTTATTTATTTTATTTTTTTCAAAATATTTTATTATTTTTATTTTATGTGTATGAGTGTATTGCCTACATGTAGGTAAATGTACCTGTGTCGTGCAATGCCCATGGAGGACAGAAGAGACCATCAGATCCTCTGGAACTGGAGTCATGGACAGTTGTTAGCTGCCATGTGAGCGCTGGGATTTGAACTTTGATCTTCTGCAAGAACAACCAGTGTTCTTAACCGCTAAGCCATCTCTCCAGCCCCCTATTATTTTTATTTTATGTGTATGTGTGTATTGCCTGCCTGTGGGTAAGTGCACTCATGTTGTGCAATGCCCGCAGAGGACAGAAGAGGCTGTCGGATCCCCTGGAACTGAAATTATGGACAGTTGTTAGCTGCCATGTGGGTACTGGCATTTGAACCTGGGTCTTCTGCAAGAGCAGGCAGTGTTCTTAACTGCTAAGACATCTCCAGCCCTCTTTTGGTCTTTTTGAGACAGGGTTTCCCTGTAGCCACAGCTGGCCTGGAACTTGCTATGCCACCTGCCTTTCCTCCTAAGTGCTTGGAGTAAAGGCATGTGCCACCATTCCCAGCATAGTTAGTATTTATTTATTTATTTATTTATTTATTTATTTACTTACTTACTTATTTATTTTATTTAATTTTTTTGAGACAGGGTCTACCTGCATCCCCAGCTGGCCTGGAACTCACTATGTAGACCAGGTTGGTCTTGAACTCACAGAAATCCACCTGTCTCTGCCTCTCCCTTCTAAGTGCTGGGATTAAAGGCATATGCCACCATTCCCAGCATAGTTGTGTGTGTGTATTATTTATTTGTTTGTTTATCAGTCTTTTTGAGTCAGGGTCTCCCTGTAGCCCCAGCTGGCCTGGAACTCACTAGGCTGGCTTGAACTCTTCAGAGATCTGCCTGCCTCTGCCTTCCAAGTACTGGGATTAAAGGTGTGTGCCACCATGCCCAGCCCATAGTTGTGTGGGTTTTTTTTTTTTTTTTGGTCTTTTTGAGACATGGTCTCTCTGTAGCCCCAGCTGTCCTGGAACTATGTAGACCAGGCTGGCCTCAAACTCACAAAGATCCACCTGCCTCTGCCTCCCAAGTGCTGGGATTAAAGGTGTGCGCCACCGTGCCCAGCTGTTGTGTGTTTTTTTAAAAAAAATTATTTTATTATTTTTATATTATGTGCATGAGTGTTTTGCCTGCATGTATGTGAGTACACCATGTGTGTGCAATGCTGCAAAGGCCAGAAGAGGGCGTCAGATCTCCTGGAACTGGAATTATAGATGGGTAGCCACCAATGGGTGTTGGGAATCAAACCCAGGTCCTCTGGAAGAACAGCCATCTCTCCATCCCACACTACACAGCTGTGGTTTTGACTCCACATGTGGTCCTGGGTCCAGACTTGATGTTGGACCTTTCTCATTCCCAGGTACCAAGAGGTTTTCCATTATTTTTCTATTACTTTTCTACAGTCCCAGTGTACCTTCACCTGTACCCTACAGAAAATGTACAACACCTAAATGAACTTCTAAAAAAATCACAGTCTAAAGCCAGACGTGGTGGCATATAATCCCAGCACTTGGGAGGCAGAGGCAGGCAGACCTCTATGAGATCGAGGCCAGCCTGGTCTACATAGTAAGTTCCTGGGGCTACAGGGAGACCCTGTCTTAAAAAGACAAATAAATAATAAATAAATAAAAAGACAGACGAGAACATCAGATGTGGGTGTTGGGAATGGAACTTGGGTCCTCTGGAAGGGCAGCCAGTGCTCTTAACCACTGAGCCATCTCTCCACGCCCCCCCCCCCGACTTCCATTCCAGAGTATCATCAAGAGAGGCTGGAGAGATGGCTCAGCAGCTAAGAGCACTGACTGATCTTGCAGAGGACCTGGGTTTGGTTCCTAGCACCCATATGGCATCTAACAACTGTCAGTAACTCCAGTTAGTTCCAAGGGATCCAACACTCTCTTCTGACCTCAGAGGGCACTGCACTAAAATACATGCATGGAAGACACTTATACACATAAAATAAATAAATAAGCCGGGTATGGTGGCGCAAGCCTTTAATCCCAGCACTTGGGAGGCAGAGGCAGG